GGACTAATTTAAAAATGCAACAAACTCTATTGTTTCTCAAACTGAAGATTAAAATATTCATTCACCCAGCACACAGCACACACCAATCTTATTACCTTATTATATTCCCCTGGGAAGTTTCTAACACAGTATTGTATAACATGATGACCACTTGGATCATTGGCAAGGGTAATAGCACCAGGGCTTAAAGCAGACACTACCAACGCTATTTGCTGAGGCGTAATCAGCTTCTCCAATATTTTCTGCACAGATCTAGCCCTGCATATTGGACACAAAAATTATCTCAATCACAAAGAAATCATCATCCAAATTTCAATTCTTTTCTTCGAATAACATCACTCGTTCGTACCCATAGGAATTGAGACAAATGCTAATGAGCTTAAATGGAGATCTTGTAAGGGCGATAATGATGTTGGTCCTCTGATCCTCATTGCAAGCAACAAAAAACTTGTAAACGAAATGGCTCCCAAACTGATTCCTCATCAGGTCACACAAATGCTCAATCACCTGCGGCAACACCACCTCAATCTCTCTCTCACTCAAACCCTCCTCCTCCTCCACTTTAAGGCTCAGTGCACCACACCACATTTGATCATTGGCCAATGAGACTATTTTGCTTCTGAGAATCTCCGGAGAAGGCCTGGGCCTGACCAGATTGCTCTGTTGAACAAATGGCGAAATTGGATAAAAGCTGGTAGCTTTTCTTGAAACAAATTGTTCCTTGCCATGCAAGGAAGAGTAGTCATAATAATCACACCCACTGTCGTAAAAACAATCCTGCCGGTGAAGAGATTTCAACAATCTGGGATCGCCATATTTCCCACAAAAACCCATTGCGTCTGGGCCCACATTGATTTTCTGGTGGGCTCCAAAGCGACCAGAAAGCCCATCGTTGATACTCTGAGACTCAGCCCAAAATGAAGACTGCTGTGGCTCTCGGAAAGGATTTGTATCATCATCGTGGATGTAGGGAAGACCCAGAAACGACGGCGTTTGGGCATTGAATCGAGGCGGCTCGGGGGAGAAGGCGAGTTTTGAAAAGGCTGAATCAATGTCTTGAATTTGATCGGCTAAGTTTGAAATGAAAGGGGACTGCGGCTGGATTTCGATGGGGTATAAGAAGCGGCGAGTTGGACTCAAAATATTTTCAGGCGGCGGCTGAGACGTCGGAGAATAAGGGTTTTCGAGGAATTTTCGCTCCATCGCCGTTACAGAGAGAATGTCGAGTTTGGGTGCTGCTGCCTGTGCTGTGTGTGTGTGGGATTCTTTTTTTTTTTTTTTGAGGATTTGAAGGGACTTTTTTTATTGAGGAGGGGTTTTATTATTTATAGGGGACAGAAATTCTTATTTTACCTACTAGAATTTTAAATTATAAAAAAAAAAATTATAAGAAAATGAAATCATATCATTCGTGTTTGTTTGAAAATGAACCATTAACTAGACCACCTCGAGACTTTTATTTTTATCTTTCTACGGTGGTAAGGTTAAGAAAGTTCAATATTATTTTAAAATTGATTCGCTTGAGCATATAAATTTTCCGAAAAGAAAATTTATTTATATGAAATTGTGGGACATGGTAGCGCATAATAAGAGAAAAAAAGTATCATATAATTAAATTCACAAGTAATTAATATATACAATTAATTCACAATATAGGTATGTAATTAGCGAACATTAAGGGCATTCTTTTTTGTAAATATTCTTTGTTTGGGTTGATTTTTTTATTATTTTAGTGAAATTTTATATTTGTATTAAAATAATATTTAAAATAAAATGATTAAAGTTAATTTGATGTAAGAAAGGGAAGAGATAATTGAAAGTGATGTGTGATTAAATTTATGTGAGTGAAATAATAGGTAATTAAAGTTGATATAATATGTAGAGAATAAATTGGTCTTATTTAATTATACTAACTAGTATTCATCCTGTGCACATGCACAAAGAAAAATAAAAATCTATATATTATATGTATGTCTGTGCACATACAAAGAAAAATAAAAATCTATATATTATATGTATGTATACAATATATAAAAAATTTATATTATATAATTAATGTATTACATTTTAAATTTTGACTACATGCAAATGTGTAATGTAAATATAATTTATTGAACTTACGTATGAATCTTTATATTGATGCCATAAATTTTAATGGCTAATATAATTTAGTAATTTAGAGGGACCATACAATTAATTAGTTATAAAAGTATTACAATTATTTTTATCATTGTTATAGCATTTGTTTATGTGATTTAAGGTGTTTAATTCTTGACACTCATGTCAATTAACTAATATTAGATAAAAACCGCTTAAAAAAATATATTTTATTTTAGAAAAAATATTTTAATGAAAAAATTGCAATACAATTTTTTATAAGTATGTAACTTCCACATACTATTTAATGTAAAGTTGTAATCAATTAGTGTTAGTAGTGAATAAATTAGTTTAAAATTATTATTACACTTTATTAATGTAAAATGTAACAGTTTTACATTAATTGAAAAAATGAGTGGGAAATGAATAGAGGTTTTATTAATTAGGTTTTATTAAATGTTATATGCCAGCAATTATATAGATATAGATAATATTGAGAATAGTATAGTTGAGTTAAATTTGATTTATAATTGAGTTGAGATTGGATTTTTTTTTTTTTTTTTTTGTTGGTATTTATAAACAGGCATGCACTAAGACCTTCAGAAAATGTTCGATTATATATTATCTAAAAGTATTAGTTTATTAGTTAATCCAATAATTTTATAGTCAGACAATGATAATTGTATATGAATGATGTTGATGATATAATAGTAAAAATAAAACCATTCTTGTAATTATAAATATATATATATATATATATATATTGAGGGATTAATTATTAAATTTGTTTGCACAATAAGCCTATAAGGATTTGGGATGACCAGTAAGGATTTGGGATAGAGACGAGAATATTTGAAGGTTAAGGAAGAGACTTAAAATAGAATTGTGTGAATTTAACGAAAGAAAAGAAAATTGGGGGTTTGCATGCAATTTCGGGAAAGTCTTTCCACGCGTGAACGCACCAACTCCTACGTGTACACGCCGTCTGCCAATCTTAATGTTTCTCAGCAGTTGCATATATACAGTTTACTCGATTTACTTCGTCCCACATTAACCGGTAACGTTGTATGGTCAACTGATATATGACTTCTGATTTCTAAACCAATTGCCATTCTTCTTCTTGATATTAAGGGAAATATTTTGATTTAGATGATATGATTATTTTTAAAACATAAAATACATTTATTGGAATAAAATAAAAAATACTTTATATATTATTAAGTATCTCATTGTACACAACATTCTTTTTAGTTTTTTCGTACATCGTTCTGGCCACAAAATAAAATCTTCAAACTCTTACTTAATAAATAATAAACACTTATTAAAGAGATAAATCAATAATATTTATCACTAAAATAATAAATAATAAATATTTCACGTAAAAAAATATATTTAAAAATATAAATAGAATTTTCAAATAAAGTAAAAGGAAAGATAAATCATATTTTTTAAAAAAAGTTTCTAAATATTTAATATATTAGTAACTATCTCCATAAGCATAATCATACCATTTCAATTTAAAAAAAAAAAAAAAAAAAAAAAAAAAAAAATTGACAAGTTTTCTTAGTCATATAAGGGCATATTTGTATTTTTATATACATTGTAGTTGTATGTCAAAATCGTGCATTACATGTTTAGCACTTTATGTATAAATGAGTGGAGTATAAATACTTTTGTAGTTAGGGTTATTAGGTAAAGTTGTTCATCATCTCCTTCACACAGAGATGCAATCTTTCTTTTTTCTTTCTCTCGATCGTTCTTCTTCCACATTTACAGTATCAATTTCGATTGTTCTTTCTTCCTCTTGAACTGTGACCAAGTGAGATACTCTTTCTCACCAGGGCGCATGCCCAGTAAAAGTTCCACCATAGACGGGCATCTCCCGTCATCTACAGCTGGGCACATAGGATACGGTGCCTCTCTGAACAATCAATGATCTCGAAAATCGATTCGAGACCCTGGATCCACTCGTCTACTAGGCGAGGATCTTCTTGTCTCAAAAACTTCTCGGAATTGTAGCCGCGGAACTGAGCGACTACCTCTGCCTAAGTCATCTCCCGCTGAGATTGATTTCCGCGCGAGAGCTCGTGGCCAAACTTACTTGTTTCCGGTCACAACTCTACTTAGAGGATTTCTCGAAATATTCTCGATTTCGATAAACCCATTAACTTAAAATTGCATTAGTTTGGTTGTATAGCCTTTTCGTCAATCAAACGGTAGCTTTTCAATGAAAACTTAAAAAACCGATTTGCCCACTGGCAAATACATGCATAAGAGCAAACATGCTCAACATAACTCGAGCGAACAACACAAACTAAGAGGACTCCAACGAAAATCAAAGCTCCATCTACGCACAATGAGTTGTCCCCGAAGACAGGAATTGATGATATCATGAAAAATATGGCAACAGTCTAAGATTTAGAGAAAACATGGGATATACCTAACTAACATAACAAAGAGATGGATAAAACTTGCAATGGTGACCGCAACCTGTCCTATGTCACCACCATGAGAGGCAGTTGTTGTAGGCCGAGAAAAAGATACGAAAAAAACTGAAAAATGTGAGGGTACGATTGGATAGGATTTTTTTGAAAAATTTTGCCTCCTTCGAAAATAGAGATGAAAATGCTCAAAAAGTTAATGTTATAATAAGTGAGAGAGAACTAAAATTTGAATGAATTTAAGAAAAACAAAAAAAAGTGATGATTAAAGTTGATGTGATAGAAAAATAATATAAAATAATTGATAAGATTGGTAGTTAGAAATATGCGAATGATGAATAATGTTCTTTTTATAACAACAACTACTACTACTACTACTATTTTATTATGTCTTAGTAAGATTGTAGATACAATAAGTGGAAAGATGCGAGTAGCAATCTTTGTGAAACTTTTTTGGTGTATTTCTTAGTTCAATGAGATAAATATTGACAAAACAGACGAAAGAAAAATTCTAACCAATTTTTAACCCAAGTGTTCATAGAGAGAAGCAAGCAAAAAAGTGTCTGTAGAGAGAAAAATGGTATACAATTGCTTACTTCAGCATCCAATCTGATGGTTTTGCTTATTAACAATAGGTAATCCCTACAAATTACTCCATGGTACATGATAGTATATACAAGTGAAGTAGTCAATAGTGGGTAATTACAGTTCATCAGAGTGAATGATACAACACGAGATGAAGATCAAAACTAACATATGCACAAGCTATGAACAAGTCAAGTAAAAAGGTCCCAAGATATTAGCGAATGACGGCTGAACCTTTTCTACTGCCTGATCTACTTTTCAGGGAAAATGATTCAACATGTACAAAAAGGCCTGAACTAATTTTGAGAGAGTGACTGGATATGGAATGAAAACGCAGTGAAGAGAATAGATTTGATTGTTTTTTTCTAAAAGTGAGGTGATATGATGTGATTAACAGCTTAAAAGTCCTAGGGGATGAGTTGTGTGTTAGTTAATATGAAAGTGCAACGATAAAAGTCAGTGTGGCACACTTTGGGAACTATAGTTAGTGCAGATTGATATTTGCTAATTGAAGTAAGAGTTGAAAAGTTTTACAAGTAGTTGCATGTTGAGAGCGACAGAAAAATCTATTGAAAACATTTATGGAAATTATTCTTAAGCAATCACACCTGAAATTTCAGCTGTCGACAACCAAACATGCGTTACTGAACCAAAACAAGGCATTCCAAAAATTGATCTTATTCCGGTAGATGAAATAGGATATCTTACCTTGGATGCTGATAATGCCGACTGAATGATGAAATTTCCAAAAGGGTCGAGCAGAAGCATAGAGGCATTAGGGCTCGTCAGTAGCTCCATGATAATTGCGTCTGAGTGATTTTCTTCTAACTCCAGCATAAGCATTTCCACAACATTACTGCATACTTATTGTATGAGAGAGACACAAACGACGCTTGCAACCGTCTCACAAGATCTGCTATAACTTCTTGCATGTCCAGTCCAAGCAGGTGTTACACCACTAGTTGCTAAAAAATTGTCAATAAGTCGGAAGATCAAGATCCTCAAGAAGCTAAATAATAATCAGATGGAGGAGGGATTGAAATCATCCCCATAAGGATCTTCAGCTAGGCGAGGATCTCC